ATGTCTGCCGTGTGTTGACGGCGCTGGAAGTTCGGCGGCGCGGCCAGGGAAATGGCAGTCATCTGACACTGATGGCGGAAACGACCCCCCCCCCCCAACTGACGGCGGCGGCGGTCCAGGGGGGGGGGGGGGGGCAGCGCCACCGCGGCGTCTGGTCAGGGCACGGGGCGGACCACCACCACCGCGGCCGGCGCGGCTGCCCGGAGCACCGGCTGCAGCCTCAGTCACTACAGGTCGGAACTCACATTCAGTCATTCTGCTCTAGTTTAAGGTGCTTTTCTGATCAGCCAATGAATACATTCAGACCTGAAGCATTTTTCCAAAAGACAAAACGGTTGTTACTCCTAGGGTAATAAAAGTGTTTAAGATATCATAGAATATTTATTGATGACGTTTTCCTCGAATGAATAAATATTACCCGTTTTCACGACGGCCATCTGGTACACATTTGGTACACATTTGGTCAGATTTGGTTGAAATTTGGTCAAATAAGGTTCGGTGTGTTTCTTCGTACTATTAGCTAGGGTTGCGCTAATTGCTTATATGCCTTCTTTGTCATGCTATCAGACAGTATACTAAAACACTAAAATGATATCATAATTTAAAGATATTTGCTGTAAAAAAGATTAGGTACAGATTTGGTCAAGTTACGTGCATTCGCCAGATAGCCCGTCGTGAAAACGACTATTTAGTAGTCGAAAAATGCATACCTTCTCAAGTGAAATATTCTCAATGAGAATATATTACTTTAATATAAGTGACAATGTACTACTTTCGACTTCAAAATATTTCTTTATTCGAGGGAAAGGTCATTAAAAATATTCTATGATATTGTAACGAGATACCTATTTCTCGCGAGAGCTCTCAACAACATATCTTCAATTAATCCGTTTAAAATGGAAATGACTAGTGACTAAATATTCCAGGTACGAGTAGGTACCTTATATGTACCCAGTACCAGTATAAGAAGCTGATGAATGTTGCAGGTCCGTTCCGTTCCGACTCAGCAGAGGTATGGCATGCGTGTTGTATGTACAATAACTACAAAAAGGCAGCAGTTTAGCAGTGCAGTGACAGTGCAGCAGTTTAGCAGTGCAGTGACAGTGCAGCAGTTTAGCAGTGCAGTGACAGTGCAGCAGTTTAGCAGTGCAGTGACAGTGCAGCAGTTAAGCAGTGCAGTGACAGTGCAGCAGTTTAGCAGTGCAGTGACTGCACCAGTTTAGCAGTGCAGTGACAGTGCAGCAGTTTAGCAGTGCAGTGACAGTGCAGCAGTTTAGCAGTGCAGTGACAGTGCAGCAGTTTAGCAGTGCAGTGACAGTGCAGCAGTTTAGCAGTGCAGTGACAGTGCAGCAGTTTAGCAGTGCAGTGACAGTGCAGCAGTTTAGCAGTGCAGTGACAGTGCAGCAGTTTAGCAGTGCAGTGACAGTGCAGCAGTTTAGCAGTGCAGTGACAGTGCAGCAGTTTAGCAGTGCAGTGACAGTGCAGCAGTTTAGCAGTGCAGTGACAGTGCAGCAGTTTAGCAGTGCAGTGACAGTGCAGCAGTTTAGCAGTGCAGTGACAGTGCAGCAGTTTAGCAGTGCAGTGACAGTGCACCAGTTTAGCAGTGCAGTGACAGTGCAGCAGTTTAGCAGTGCAGTGACAGTGCAGCAGTTTAGCAGTGCAGTGACAGTGCAGCAGTTTAGCAGTGCAGTGACAGTGCAGCAGTTTAGCAGTGCAGTGACAGTGCAGCAGTTTAGCAGTGCAGTGACAGTGCAGCAGTTTAGCAGTGCAGTGACAGTGCAGCAGTTTAGCAGTGCAGTGACAGTGCAGCAGTTTAGCAGTGCAGTGACAGTGCAGCAGTTTAGCAGTGCAGTGACAGTGCAGCAGTTTAGCAGTGCAGTGACAGTGCAGCAGTTTAGCAGTGCAGTGACAGTGCAGCAGTTTAGCAGTGCAGTGACAGTGCAGCAGTTTAGCAGTGCAGTGACAGTGCAGCAGTTTAGCAGTGCAGTGACAGTGCAGCAGTTTAGCAGTGCAGTGACAGTGCACCAGTTTAGCAGTGCAGTGACAGTGCAGCAGTTTAGCAGTGCAGTGACAGTGCAGCAGTTTAGCAGTGCAGTGACAGTGCAGCAGTTTAGCGGTTCAGAGCGGAGCCGACAACCACAGGCCGGTCGGCGAACAGTATAGACCGCGCACAACGGATAGCGGTCGCCGGTCTGCCAACAGCCGCCCAAGGGAAATATCCGATACCACTTTCCTGAAATTAGTCTTTTTTACAACATTTCCTAAAGATTTTTATACTTAAAATGATCAGAACAGAAAATATTTACAAAAGGATTTTTTACTATTTGCATACCTATAAGGAAGAACTTTATTCCATCCTTGATGGAGGGTAGCTAGCGGTGGCGCGGAAAATTTTTACGCGTTGACCAATCATATTGCGTAGTTCAAAAGCAACTGCATACTGATTGGCAGAGCTTAGCCTCTGCGACAGGTGGCTGCATTCTTGGCATTCTTCTACAAGTGAAACATTCCTCTATAAGGCACTCTTTTGGGCAGGGGCGGCGGATTCGGGGGGGCAGGGGGGGCAGCTGCCCCCCCCCCTGGCAAACTCGTGGGGGGGCAAAAGTATCTTTTTGCCCCCCCCATAATTTGTGACAAAACTTAGACAAGAAACATATACCTGATTATTCTGTTCGATCATTTGAAGATGTAACCAGATGCCCATATACTTTATCATACGTTGCTTTTCTTAAATGGCAAGTGTTCGCGTTCAATTGAAGTTTTCCTCTCTTCACCCTAGTTTTGGAGACATTATAAGCGTCAACGTGACGCAGCGGCAACCCAGGCCTTCAGTGGACCGCTTACAGGGGCGACGGATACCTACAGAGGAGGCATCGTTCCCTAAGAAACTTCTGGAGGAGGGGCAAACGTATATTCTTGCCCCTCCATAATTTGTGCCCTAAACATGAGGAAAATTTCCATAGCCATATTGCAGCTATGCACTCCTACAGTTTGTCCAACGGTGCCTTTTGAATATGTGTAAATGCTAACCATTTCCGATTTATAGCATTTTTGGTCTTTTCAGATTCGATTTAGAGATATTTTAAGTGTGCAAGAGACGCAACTCACACCCTCAGTGGTCGTTTGCCGCTATTTTGTACCTACAGAATGCCAAATCGCAAGCGAGCGGAGACGGAAGGGCTAGCCATTCGCCTGCGGGTAGTTAGGACTGATGAGCGCTCGTAATAAGCCACTCCCCTGATTTTTTTCGAGCGCAACAGTTTCCAGTGCAAGTAAAATGGTAAACGCCGAGGTCGTACACATTGACCACATTGACAAATGCACGGTATGACACCCAAAGGCCAGTCATCAGATATCTGCTTTGGGCATTCGGAGGCTTGTGTGGGGCCAGTGTAAAAACTGGATGTTCACAGTTCAGTATCCGCTTTATTTCAGTATTCACTATTAAATAAGTTAAAATTAACGTTGGAAACTTTTGAGGGTTAGGGCACTGTTCATTAGTGGGGCCCCCTCTGGCTAAAGGCTGGCTATAAAATACAGAGCATCGAACACGAAAGCAAAATCTAAGGCATTTTGGAAAAATGAGTATGCCCCGCAGCGTCCGATAACTACCACCTTCCAGTGGGTCAAGCCAACGGGGTCCAAGTCTATAATGACACTTAACGATAGCACTAACCTTGTCTCACTTTTCGTTGAAGTCTGTTCCGAATGGTTTAGGCGACAGACTGGCTGCACTGAGGTCGTTTGGTATGTGCAACTGTAATTAAAGCCACCTGAGGCGCCCACACTAGGCTGAAGCTGGGTTGGAAATGCTTCGTCTTTGCAGATATCACTGGCCGCTGATTCTCGAGTGCCTGAACCGGTAGATGTCGTGGTAAAATTTGGTGTGATAATTTGGACCTTACCGCAGTCAGCGCACCCTTAAGTCCTAATAAAGAAACGCCCCCCCCCCCCCCAGAGCTTCTGCATCCAGTTCACCGAATTCCTTCACCCTAGTCCGCTGCTCGACTCCCTCACGTCAGCCCTCCGTTCCCAGCTTGACGAGCGTTTGGGCCTTAGTTAAGCCTTGCTGTGGGCTTACTGTAGGATAAACCCATCGAGACAGCCCGTCTCGGTGAGCTTAGTTGGCGAACTACTGCCTTGGGGAGGGTTTCTGGCGGATCGCTGTCCCAATAGGTTTAGATGCGACCGACTGTCTCTGAATGTTTGAGCGGTCTCCTCCCGCTGTGAGCTAGTTTCAGTTGATATCTGTCTCAGAAATACTTTTTAAAGGAAGTTAACCGAAAATCCAACGTAAAATGAACAGAGGAAATGGTAACGAGTTACCTCATTGAAGAGTAGCGCTCGCCTACTTAAAAAGGTTTGGCACCGTTCTTCAACATCTGATATGCGATTGGGTTATGGCACAATTTTTTCCCATTGGAGCTTTTTTCTAATACAGCAATACGAAATGCGTTACATCGTTCACTGGCGGATCCAGGGAGCGGGCATTTAAAGCAAATATTTACTCCCCCTCCCCCTGGCCCCTACATCGCCCGAAATAGACAAAACGTACCTTATGTTTCCTAGTAATAACATTTTTATCAGGATTTTTTTTTTTAATACTGTTCAGCAGTCCGAGAAATCGAAATCCGAGGAGTTTTTGGATGTTGGACACTTTTTTTGGGGGGGTATGTCCCCTACAGCGTCGAAAACGCCTTTCTGGATCCGCCTATGACATCATCTCGACTGGGATCTTGCCCCCCCACGCCAAAATCGAATCCGCCGCCACTGCTTTTGGGAACGAGAAATGGAAACCTTTGCCTATGGGCGATCGTTAGGGCGTAAAAATCTCCTGATTTGTGCTTGTCTCAGCTCAAGCTACAAAACTGCTAATCCAGTTCATAATTCCATGTTAAAGTGGTATATTCCTTTTAAGTGGTATCTAGCGGGACGGCCGTGTCCACGTCCGCCGCTGGCCGTACTGCCCCCCCCCCCCCCACGTCCGCCACTGGCGTTACCTTCATGTCGTATCCGATGGGGGAGAGCCACTCGAAGATGAAGATGGCAGCGCCGGCCGCCTGGATGGCCACCAGAGCCACCAGCAGCCAGGAGGCCGTGTCAAACGGCTCTGGAACCGGGCACAGGCCGCGGTCAGACGGGGACAGGTCAGGTCACAGGCCGCGGTCAGACGGGGACAGGTCAGGTCACAGGCCGCGGTCAGACGGGGACAGGTCAGGTCACAGGCCGCGGTCAGACGGGGACAGGTCAGGTCACAGCGCGGTCAGACGGGGACAGGGCAGGTCACAGGCCGCGGTCAGACGGGGACAGGTCAGGTCACAGGCCGCGGTCAGGCGGGGACAGCCCGGACAAGTCAGGTCACAGGGCTCCGAAAAAAGAGTAGAATCAAATAACTTCGCCAGTCCCGAATACAAGCATAACTAAGTACGACGAAATAAGCGCACTTTTAGCGGCATTTATGTCAAAAGTTTATTCACAGTCATTTAGAGTAGCAGAGTACCTCGTCATCGCAGTGTCATTTCTGTCCGCGATATGCACCAAGTCACAATATGAATGAATGGAGACATTTTCCGTACGTCCTCGCATTATGTCAGTGAAACCATCCTCAGACGCGACACGATTCAGTGCATTTATCCAACGCCAGCCCAGCGATTTTCAGCAAACTGATTGAGCGCTGCTGATCCCAATCTCACCGGGTTTGCCCCCGAGAGCCCCGGTAAAAAGCCAGCGGGGATGCAGTCACGTCACGCACGAAATATGTATTTCAGAACGGGATCTCTCTGTCGTACAATGTATGGAGCATCCTCAGTATGCGCGGCCGGCCGTCATCACGCTTTTGAGAGACTCATGTTTGGCAGGAGCCCTGAACTGACTGACCTGCCGTCTCCTTTTTTGTATGGTGTCTTCACCGTTCTACTGTGGACTGGACTTGTGATACACTCGTGATGCCCAGTGACAAGTATCCTCGATGCATGTTTTTGTTTACTATCCTGCCATGCTACGAACAAAATCAAGACGTATGAAGATTATTTCACTCCAATATCTTCAATAACCTTAAAATTTTCAGTTCCCAGGACATTGGTTGACCCATTGGTGGCTTTGTGACCTGAGCTGACCTAAAACTGTACCTCTGCCAAATGTCCGGCCTTAAGCAAACCGAGCTGACATTAAGCTCAGTACTCTACTTCTATCGTTCTGAGCAATCGTGAAAACCGGTGAGTGCTGGCACCCAGCCCCCTCAGGAACGCACTAAGCCCGGCTGACGGCTGTATGATGCCGTTATTGAGCGCCGTTATTCAGTGCCGCTCAGCACGCTGTTCATTAAAGTGTGACCATTGAGGGCGGCCAGCGGCGGCGCTGCTCGGCGCTTGGCGGCCCGGCCCGTGTGAGCCGCCGGCGTCCATTGAGCCGCCGCGCCGGGCCGGGCCGGCATTGAGCCGCCTCCCGCGCCGCTCATTAAGGGTGCGTTTCACGCGTAACGCTATGAGAAACGTTTTTCGTAAATATCTAGAGCATCGTTGCTTCGATTGCCTTCGTTTTTTGATATGTTATGAAGGACGTTAACCTCGTCATCACAGAGTGGTAACCGTTGTTCTGCAATCCACATATACTGAGCAATTGGGACAAACATATTGCAAAATCAAAATTTCAAACGAATAGAACTCAATAACGGATTGTCGTACGACTGTGATGTTTGCAGTTTTGGACTGACTAAGTCAAGGAAAACATTTCCTAGCAAGCCTTTTTTCAATTTTTGTACCATGTTTTGCATGATACAATTTTCATCTTGCAGTGCATTGCATAAAAGCCGCGACAACAATTTCAAAAATGTGGCTGCTAGGAATCATAAAGACATCGATTCTCTACACAATCCTGTAGATTGAATCATCATTGCATGCATCACTATGCAGTTCTATTCATTTGAAAGTCATTGCACAGCTAGTTCATAAAATCGCCGAGAGATGTCACTGGCTGTATGGCCCGCGCGTTTCGACGGTCCCCTCGGCTCGTCACTCAGCGGCGTTTGTTGACACAGTGTCACACCCATTAGTTTCGGCGCTCCGCTGGCGTTCGGCCGCCGTCGAGGTGCCCTGAGCCCTCCCTGCTAAGTTTCGCCGTGACCAGACGTGTCGGAGGACGGAGACTCATCCCACGATCTATCCATGAGCGGCGCCCAGCCCGGCGTCTCCTATCACGCGCCTCTCACTCTTGATCGGGAGTACGCCGGGAAGAGCTTGTGAGAGACTGACAACTTTGAAAGATGTCACAATTAGTTTGTGTCAGTGGTATTACGAACAGCGAACAGGTATGTTTTGACAATAGGTATTTGACCTGACCTGGGCAGTCGGTACTGGTCATAAATAATGAAAATAACCAGCAATACCTACCAATTCCATGGAGGCATAGACCCTAAGTGACGTGAGACCAAAGAACAGTTCGACTGTTATGTCAAAACCCTCGCCCTGGCAGGGTATTAACCCGCGCCCTGGTGGGGGGGCTATTTTTTGCCCCTCCTCCAGACTTTTCCATATATCTCCAGAACCGCTGCGCTGATCGTCACCAAACTTTCAGTACCCTCCCGAACATCAATTTTACACATTGTGACCAAAAATGTTTCCAAAGACTATGATAGGTTGGCCGGAAATGACGTCAGAGTGACGTCATGTTCTGCCGTTTTCGACCCAAAAAAGGGTTTCGCCGGAAGAGCTGTCAGGCCTATAGCTTTGCAAATACAGAAAAACGATGAAGACATAAACGCTGTAAAATTGACAGGGCTACTAAACTGCTATCTCAGATTTTTGAAATTTTTGGATTTTGACCCCCAAAAATCAAAAAATATATTTCTTGAATATAATAGCCGAAAATCCAAAACGTTTTTTGAATTTCGCAAAAACCAGAATATATGTGATATTCCTTACCGCTTTCTATCTACATACCAAATTTGAGATTGATACCTCTTTTTTTGGCGAAGTTATAGCGAAAAAACGGTTCAAAATTGATGACGTCAAATTTTCAAACTCAATTTTAGCAATTCTAGACCCCGTAGCGCAAAACAAAGACCATCATTAGACTCCCCGTGACGAGCTGCATCGAATCAATACCCATTTTATACAAAACTATCAACTTTAAAATTTGACCTTTTTTGACCTGACCTTGACCTGACCTTCACCAGAAAGTGACCTAAGCCGTACCTGATAGTCTTATAACCAACACCATAGAGTTGGAAATGAAAAATTGGCCATAAAACATGCATCGCACAACCTTAGTACCTAAAGTTAGGTTCATGTGACCGTGACCCTTGGTGACCTGAACTGTGACCTGACCTGATAATGTCAGTGACCTCTTATAGTAACATATGTACTAGGCAACTGACGCCCTATCGCTGATTCTCGACAAAATGCGTTTTCTTCGGTGTTATAGCGCATTCCCTAGATGACCCGTGAACGGTGAAACATTTCATCTTTGACCTGACTTGTGACGTCATCGGTGACCCCGAGGTCAATGAAATTTGGTTTCCCTCAACAAATTTGACAGGCCTTTCGAACGCCGTTTGAATTTCGCGGATCCGTCCAGTAGTTTCGGAGATACGAGGGGGGGGGGGGGCAAAAAATAGCCCCCCCCTCCCCCCCCCCCACCAGGTCGCGTTATAAACAGACACCACCAGGGCGCGGGTTAACGCGTCGGTTGCCTTGTACATACAGATGTTGTTAAAAGACGTCACTGATACCAGGTCAGGTCACAGAGGTCAGGTCACCAAGGGTCAGCACGTGAACCCAACTTTTCTAGGGCCGTGTGATGCATGTTTTGTGACCAATTTTTCATTTCCAACTCAATGGTTTTGGTTAGACGACCATGAGGGACGGCTTAGGACTTAGGTTACTTTCTGGTGGAGGTTAGGTCAAGATCTGGTAAAAAAGGTCAAATTTCGAAGTTGATACTTTTGCATAAAAAGAGTACCTATTTTGATGCACCTCATCACGAGGAGTTCCATCGGTCGCAAAACGTCCTCAATTTTCCAACCGATACCCCCCGAACCTGATTACGACACGCTGACGAAGTTTTGTTATACAATTCGAAAGCTCCGACCCGAACGATTTCTTGGGGGATTTAAGTTCGGATGCGGTTATAAGATTCCGGGACATGCAAGTTGCAGCTACCAATGGCCTTATTACATCGTGCACTGCAACTTACAAAGGACTCGGGCATCTACTATAGCTCTGATGCGGTGACAAAATTGTAAGCGTTTTATAAAGCATATTCTTCTGTGCCTTCTGATGCGATAGTCCGGCACTATACAGTGTAGCTCATTCTGATAGCTCATGCAATAACCCGAGTTTCGAGCACCTAGGATATGCCTGAGCTGGGTGACCTAAACTTCTGAGACCTGGGTTCTACAATTTCACACACGATGAGAAATTGATGCATGATAAGCTATGCCAAGTTTCGCAGCGCTTATACGGGCAACAAAATAAAAACTTGCAAGATTGACCAAAAAATGCCCCACTTCCCTAACACTATGAATGTGACTGAAGCTGCTTTCCTGTACCTCATTTTATTAGCCTTCTCATTATTCCGGTCTTTCCCTATCCATGTGTGTCGGCGCGGGTTAGGCCCAATGTGGTTCGACTGAGTGCTTGACATCTGGTCCTTTCCGCCCGGCCTGACCGGCGCGGCGCGGCGGACCCGTGCCACTCCTCCCCGAACTCGCGGGGCGCGGATGGGGAGGGGCGGCCCGGCAGTCGAACCCCTCTGCGCTAACAGATGGATGGACAGGAGAAATGTGATACTTGTCCTATGACAACAAATCGGCGTTCAGCGCTAGGGCCATCTACTGGTCTAGAAACGTATCTCTATGTCGGCAAGATCCTCGCCAGGTGGTGTAAAGGTCGCGTGAAACGCACCCTTAACGCGCCACAGCACGCCGCGCCCGGACAGGGAGACAAATCACGGCGCCGTAATGGCAGCCGGGGCCCGACCCGCGCGCCGAGAGCGGCGTCCCAGCGCGGCGCCAAACACACAGCGGGGCGGGCCGCGGGCTGGGACTCTGACGGACCCGCCACTCCACACCGGCGCGGCGCGGCGGACCGCGGCGCGGGCTGGGACGGTGGAACAAGGAGTGACTGCAGCACCGACCCGAGCCGGCCGCCGCCCAGCAGTCACCGCGCCGCGGAGGCTGCCGAGCCCTCAGAGATGTGTCGGATCGGTCGTGTCCAGGCGCTGACACGGCCATTGCCCCCGTGGCGTCCCTTAACCCGGCACCGCCTGGGCTATTTCCGTACCCACGACAGCCTGGGGGGGGTCGGATCCGACCCCCCCCCCCTGTTATCTCGAGAACCAATGGTCGTATCGAGCCCCGCGAGGCGGCGTTCGAAAGGTCTCTACGAGACCTTCTCAAAGCACTCTTAAGATTTTAAGATTGAGGTCAACTTTCGGGTCAAGGTCAGGTCAAAGGTCAAATTCTGGGGTTTTGCATGAATCGGCTTACGGACAGCGGAATCGATAGCTGCTGCTCGAAACTCACCAAAAATGACCTCAAAGGCCTAGTGAAGGTACCATGTGCGTATAGGGGTCATACTAGGTACAGGTCAAGGTCAGGTCAGGTCACGAAAGGTCACGGTTTTCACTTTCTGCTACATGGGCGTGCGACACATGTTTTATGGCTTATTTTTCACGCCGAATCCGATGGCAATGGTTATAAGTGACCCCAAGTCACTGTGCTGGTGATAAGTGTGCATTGAAAGCATAAAAAATCGTTTATACTATACATAACTAAACGAGGGCTAAGAAAAAAGGTCAATTTTTCAACTTTTTATTTTTGACATAAAAATGCACTTTTCTAGACGAGCTTTGTCCCAGGAATCTAGTGATGCCATTTGTTTTCACATGCGATGTTCAAAAGTGCCTCTAATTCACGAAAATGCTTATGACGTCACCATGCCCTATGCATGTTGGAGCTATTTTTTACAATTTGGGGGTCAAAAATCAAGATAGAAAGTTGAAATTTGGGGCATCTAATGTTCTAATATAGCTCTACAACATATATTCCGGTTTTTTGGAAATTTCCAAAATTTTGGATTTTATTAGCTGTTTTCCAAAAAATATAGTTTTTTGAATTTTTAGGGGTAAAAAACGCATTTTATGGAAAATCCGAGATAGCCATTTTAAAGAACTCGTTGAGCTGCGTCTTTTGTTGTCCTTAATTTGCAATTTGCTTCAAACCCTGATTTTTGGCGATTTTTTAAACATTTACCACTTTTCGACTAAAAACGCCATGTAGTTACATCACTAAAATCGATATATCTCAAAAAGTTAAAAAAACACAACAACAAACACAAATTCCAAACAAACGAATTCCGAGAGTGTATGTTGATGGCTCTCATACCAAACAGTGACGCAGAGCACTGGGCTTGGGGTCGAATGTGTTTTTTTTTCGAAAAAACGGCAATGTATTTATTGGTCTGTTTCATAGTGGATGCATGCGACAAAATGATAGTGACGACAGTGCAATCATACAACAGTCACGGCTCACAGCACATCTTAAAATTAGGGTTTTTGTTCAGAATTTCGGAGTTATTTAGTTATTTAAGGCTATGAATTTCGGAGTTATTCGGAGTTATTTAGTGCGACGTAAGCATACAAGCAGGTGGCTAACACCCTAATCCGAAGCCATTCATTCCAAAATTGCCTTGTTCTCAAATGGTGGCCCTCCAAAGTTGATCCGTTTGCCAGCTAATCAGAGGCGGCGGAAGGTAATTTGGGATGGGGGGCATACCTGATCCTTCCCGGAGCCTAGGGTACCCCCAAATCTAGTTTTCTCATCGGTTTTAGGCCACTTATTTTTGACCCCTTGGCCTTTACAACGAAAAATCGAAACGAAAACATTTGCAAAAAGTGAGATATTCCGTCTCATCTGAGTCAAGGAACTACCTTTTTGGTAACCTGGAATAAACGTTTAAAGCTTTCACACATGAGTTGTCAAGTGTCAAGTCAGGTACAGAGTTTTTTTTTTTACTTAAATAGGTATTGTCTTCCATTTAGCTTTTCTTTGAGGCCCACGGCCACTAATATAGGGAGGACAAGCTGCCCCGATGGTTCCTGGCATATACTGAATACGTGTACCAAATATTGATTGATTATCTTTGTTCGGGACCCAAATATTTGTAAAACTCAACAGGTAAATTTTTCTGCCCCACCCTGTACAGTGTCTGGAGTTTAGCGCCAGATTTGACCACCTCAGGTCGACGGTTGGGCCTCTAGGCGCCAAAAATCGCCAAAATAGCCTATATTGCCGAAACCAGTTGTTTTTTTTTGGGGGGGGGGGCAAACTTCTGACATAACGGCCATAGCTTCTGCTGGGTCAACAATTTAATCACCAATCACCATGGCACTTCTCTCATCAAGGCGCGCCAAGGCGTTTTGAGGTCATCAATAATATACAGGATGGCTGAAAGGTCAAACTGAAAATGTGACCTCAGGTCAAGGTCACGACCTGACCCAAAAAGGTCATGTTGCATGTCAATTGATTAGTATTGACGAGATAAACACAATGAATTTATCCTGGAACCTGTATCTCGCTTCAATCCTGTATGTCGGTGGCGGCCCCGCGGTAGCGGTTGCGCTTTATAATTTTTCGCTTCCGCAACTCGCAACTCCGCAACTCTTTTGGGCTCGGAAGCCGATCCGTAACTCCGCTACCAAGAGGGTAGTCCGCAAGTTGCGGAGTTGCGGAGTTGCGGAGTTGCGGACTGAAGTTGCGCAATGCCCAGCTCTGTCCGCGCCACTGCTGGATATGAAAGACGGTGGATCGATAAGATGTTCGTCAAGACAGCCGATATTCAGCCCAGATTCGGGACACCTCAGGTCGAGCTGAAACTTGCACACAATGTAGGTCGTGACATACGCAACCCACAGCCAGAGCTATTTGCTGTCACTCCCAGCCGTTTGACCTGCGGAGGTCAGCAAAGGTCACCTGACCCAAATTTGCACAGCAGATTGTGGCCCACCCAGTAGGGCTAGAGCGCTAAAAATGACACCAAACCACTCGCCAGTATCTAATCTTACATTCCCACTGGCACTTGACTTCTCAAGGTCATGCGATGACCTAAGGTCATTTATGAGTTATGTCGAAAGTACGCTTGCACAGCGGATCTCGAGTATAAGGATGGGCCGAATTCCAAACCAAAGCACACCATCGGGTAGCGCATAAGCCGTAGGAAGTTTCGTGAAAGCTGCTCCTCGATATGTGACCCTGTCTGACATCGGCAAGACAAAATGCATGCACAAATAAGCGACCTCTCCCGCGTCAGAGACCGGATTCAGCCCGGATTCTCAGAGTCATCGGATGGCCCTGAGAGGTCGAATACTAATGGAAAGTAAGCTTAGAACTCGAGTCGTATGGTGTCATTTTTAGTGACTAGCTCTTCTGAGTAGGCCACAAACTACTATGCAACTTTGGGTCAGGTGACCTTTGCTGACCTCCGCAGGTCAAACGGCTGGGAGTGCAACTGCCAGCAAATAGCTCGGGTTGGGAATGGTATATGTCATGACCTCGATTGTGTGCAAGTTTTACCTTGATCTGAGGTGTCCCCAATCTGGACTGACTCCGGGCTGAATCTGGGCTGTCTTGATGGCCATGATCGATGGGTGGGTAGAGTGATGGACCGGACCGGTAGTCCGGTGGCCCGATGGACCGATGGACTGTGATAGACGGATGGCCCGGTGGCCCGCGCTCGGTCTCCGGCCGGACCTGTCGTGCCGCCGCGCCGCCGCCGAGTCGGGTCGGGTCGGGGGACCTCTGATCAGCCGCCGACCGGCGCCCGATAAATCTGTCCCTGATGAATGGCTCCCCCGCCGGACCGAGCTTGGACCGTCACCCGGCGTCAGCGACGGACATGAATAATTCGGGCCGGCGAGCGGCCGCGGCCGTTTGTATTCGGCGCGGCGGCGGCGACTGTCTCCGGCCGGCGGTTTTGCCACGCCCGGCCGCCCGCCGCCGGTGGCAAAAACACCGCCGATTTTCGCCAGATACGTGCAAAAAGGACATCTGCACTTCCGTGTCCAGCGCCGGTGGTCAGCGAACTGCGCGGAACGGCTGACTGTAGAATACAGAGCGGAGAGGGCTCGCATCCACCGCGCCAGAGCGGAGGGGCTGACCGCTGGTCTAAAATTAGACCGAATAACCACTATATCAGGCGCGCTTTCCTGGAACTGGTCTCTCTGAACCGCACGCCTCACAGAAGACTCGCCCACCAGTCATATCCGATTAAGAAGAGCTTAAACCAAATGAGCTCCAGTTTAGAGCAGACTGTAGAGAGTCGGCCGTCGCCTTGGCTTCTGCAGGGTTGAAGAGCCGCGGTTTTATGTTACAGCTTGGTCCGCCTCTCCAGAGCAGATGAAGGCCGGAACGGCAGCAGATGGGACTCGGTGTGCCACTGAGTGACGAGGTCGGACCAGGGGAGATGGAGAGATGACCGGGAGATCGTGGGCAGATCACGGCGCAGATGTGGTGTGGAGATAATGATGGGAAGATGATAATGTGGTCGTGGAGATCGCTATGGGAAAAGTTAGGGGTAGGAGGTGGAGAGGAGAAGGCACTGGGAAGTATGTATGCATGTATGTGTTGACAATTAACACACTCTCCGGCTATTCTGAGCGCCGCCTCAGTTGGATTAATAAGAGGAAAACATTTAGGTCGACGCACAAAATAACCATACCTCAATTTCACAAAACCGAGCTAAACTTCAGAGAAATTTGTTCGCCGAATAGATAAATCAGGAGGCAAGTTAAAATGACGCTATAGTGATGCCGGCGAGTAGATGCAGTGGGTGGTGGTGGTGGTGACGCAAGGGTGCAGGTGTGAGCGTGCAGTGCACACCACCGAGGAGGGCCATCTGCATCGGGGAAATAACGGGGAGGTTGTGCCGGGGAGATGTCGGGTAGACGTCGGGGAGACGCTGGGTAGACGTTGGGGAGGTGTTGGGGAGGTGTTGGGGAGGTGTTGGGGAGATGTCGGGTAGCTGTCGGGTAGAAGTCGGGGAGACGCTGGGGAGACGCAGGGGAGGTGTGCAGTGTGCACCCACCGAGGAAGGCCGTCGGGGAGATGATGCCGGTGCGTTTGGAGACCACGATGCTGACGCCGGTGTCCAGGAAGGGCACGGTGAAGTCGACGGCCGTCTGACGGTACGAGTTGATCTTGAACGACGTCATCACCATGTCGGCCTTCTTGTTGATGAGCACGCCCGGCAGGCCGTTCCAGCGCACCTTGCCATCCTCGTGCTGCGACAAAAAACAGCAACATAAATCACTAGGTACCTACACTCCCCTCCTCGTGATGGGAAAACAACGGAAATCACCACACTCCCCTTCTCGTCCTGGGGGAGGCATGAAGACCTGATTCAAAACTGTCTGATGATTAAAACCGACGTAATATATCATTTTTACATTATTAGATGCGTGAAATCAAGATGTTATTTTTGTGCTTTGTGTGGTCAAAATGTGGGAGACTCTCCCTGAACGGTTTAATACTTTTTGTTTAAGGCATTAGTTCTAAGCTTCTTCTGTAGTAACAAAAAAAAAAATATATGAGCCCACAACAAGAAACTTCAGTTTAGTTGGACCTCTTTTTCGATTAGTTAAAATTGCGCTGCATGAGACCATCATTTCTAAGAAGCAATGACGACTCATTTCTAAGCCGTCCATGCTGCGATGGAAGCCCCGGGCCTCAAGGGCAAAGGCCTTCTGGCTTCTCTACACGGAGGCGGAACTAGGGGAGGGGGGGGGAGAGAAATGACAGGGCGCCGCCACCGGCCAGATTAAAGGCGGCAGGAAGGCGGAGGCCACTCAGGGATGCCGCGTCTGCCCCTGCCGTTCGGAGGACGGAGCAGTGAGCACTGAGCGGAAGGCGGCCGGCTCCGGTAATTACATACAGACGCCGGCTGCAGTCTACATACCGTCCCGGGCGCACTGACCCCCTGGGCGCCCCAGAGGCCGGGGTGGGCCACACACTCACCACCTGTGCGCCCCAGAGGCCGGGGTGGGCCACACACTGATCCCCTGGGCGCCCCAGAGGCCGGGGCGGGGCACACTGACCCCCTGGGCGCCCCAGAGGCCTGGGTGGGCCACAGTGCACACTCACCACCTGAGTGCCCCAGTGGCCGGGGGGACGGCACACTCACCACCTGAGCGCCCCAGAGGCCGTCCTCGTTCCTGAAGAGGTCGTATGTGAAGCCCAGGTCGTCGGCGAACTTCTCCAGCAAGTCAATGCAGAAGCCGGAGCAGCAGCGGAAGAGGCGCGGGTCCGCCCGCGCCTCCGTCATGTTCACCCTGGGAGTGCAGGAACAGCTCAGTACACCCGCGCCTCCGTCATGTTCACCCTGGGAGTGCAGGAACAGCTCAGTACACCCGCGCCTCCGTCATGTTCACCCTGGGAGTGCAGGAACAGCTCAGTACACCCGCGCCTCCGTCATGTTCACCCTGGGAGTGCAGGAACAGCTCAGTACACCCGCGCCTCCGTCATGTTCACCCTGGGAGTGCAGGAACAGCTCAGTACACCCGCGCCTCCGTCATGTTCACCCTGGGAGTGCAGGAACAGCTCAGTACACCCGCGCCTCCGTCATGTTCACCCTGGGAGTGCAGGAACAGCTCAGTACACCCGCGCCTCCGTCATGTTCACCCTGGGAGTGCAGGAACAGCTTAGTGTACATATGTAGGCACATAAATTACTTACAGAGGCATAGACAGCTCAGTGCTCAGTGTCCTTAAACAGTGGTCTTTTTAGTGTATTCCAATCTAATGCCACAACATGCATTCTTCTGACCATGCTGTACACTGGAGTAAATGATCAATGGGTGCAGTACATACATATCGAAAAAGGAGGAAAATGGCGCGTTTATCCCGCACTGAGCCAGTGGTGGCGTGACCGCCACATATCGAACCGGGGCGGGGGAGGGGTATCGCACCTCCCGCAAATCTCCCAGACGACTCGACTGCTGAGCCATGCAGCGATAAGCGATTAGTGGCGCTCGAAAGGCCGTAAAAATATATATATCAAGCAGATACTTGCGAGTGCGTGCATTTCAGGCCAACTCAAAGCCAGGTCATCCGTGTTCATCTCAGGTCATTTTGACATTTTTACACCTTGGATATTGGGCTATTAACTAGAGCTAGAGCATTGCTAAAAATGTCTGGTAGGTATTGATATCAAATTTGTTTTGATTTTTTTTTTAGTCCAATAAGGCCACAGGTAAGGTTGAATGATATCGATACTAATATACATATATAACAGAACATATATCGATACTATTGTACTTGCATCGTGTTTCACTTATCCAGACGCGTCAAATGATAATCAGTTTACGGCGACATTAGACAATTAGCATACGGCGACCCGGGGTGGTGACCTGGGTGCACGTACCCGTGCAGCGCCGTCTCGTTGGCCACGCGGCAGAGCACGCCCTTGTTGGCGGCGCACGTCCCGGTGACAGGATCGGGCGGGTCCAGCATCACGTACGGAGAGTCCTCCATGAACACCACACGCAGGTGAAACTTCTCCGGAACGCCTGCAGGGCGCCGGGCACAACAGCACTGAATGCAACAGGGAAACTTCTCCGGAACGCCTGCAGGGCGCCGGGCAGAACAGCACTGAATGCAACAGGGAAACTTCTCCGGAACGCCTGCAGGGCGCCGGGCAGTACAGCACTGAATGCAACAGGGAAACTTCTCCGGAACGCCTGCAGGGCGCCGAGCAGAACAGCACTGAATGCAACAGCGCAGGACAGGGCAGAGCAATACAGCATAGGAGAGAACAAGGAAATATAGTACAACATAACATGGAGCAGTGCAGAACAGAACAGAACAGAACAGAGTCATAATAGTACGGGACATTGCAGAACAGAACAGGACAGCAGAACAGGACAGAACAGGACAGAACAGGACAGGACAGAACAGGACAGGAGATGACCGAACAGCGTTCAGGACGGCACGGGACGGCGGCTCGTGCAGTCTCAGCCGCCTCCGCCTCCGTCGGCCCACTAATTAACTGAGTTAGGCCAATCGCCCGGCGGGCAGACGGCGAAATCAGGAGGGGTCCCTGCCGGCGATTGACGAAATCGATGGACAACACCGCCCACAAGAGCGACGCGTCGCCTCAGTTTCGCAAAATAACACTATGAACGTACACATGAAACATTTGGCAAAGATCGTAGCACAGCTGATTGCTTAAAATTGAGTTACTTATTCTCCGCTCTGGGTGATATATGTACGAGTATAAGTAAACCCCGCATTTTGGTGATAGGTAAGGCTAGGCAAGTCCCACCTCTGTGTGTGTGCGGGCTGGTACAAGATACCTATAAGAAACAGGTAGATCCGATGTTTGAAAGTAAAGCCCCAGTCACAAATTTGACGCACCTGTGACATTTCCTGACACCCACGTGACTATTGTATTAACTTTTGTGTTTTGCGATGTTTTGACCTTATTTAAAGTACTGAAAGCTCAAAATGTATGTTTAATGTTGTTTAAAGCAGCATATTAACAATTATGTTTGTAAATTATCGATAAGCTGCTTATAGCAGGTCACGTGATTGCTACCAGATTATGTGCTCAGAAAGCATCTTTTCAACTTCGATTTTGAACAATTTTTACCTCCTTTGAGGCCAAATGATGGACGGTTTGATGCACACGATGAAATGCTGAATCTATTGATGCCAAAATTTGTTCGTTTTTTGCATTTTTAGACTACTATATCCTGGCTCAAACTTTGACCAGTTTGTGTGTAAACCCTATGGTGAAGGGAAAACTTCACGCCCAGCAGGCGTCATTACAGTGCTGCCAAATCGTGTTTGGTGGGGGTCGGGCTGGTACTCAGTGTTACTCAGTACTAAATCCCACCTCAGTGGGATATGTGAGGTTTGGTAAGATATCACCTCAGTGTGATGTGTGAGGTTTGGTAAGATATCACCTCTGTGTGATGTGTGAGGGTTGGTAAGGCATCACCTCAGTGTGATGTGTGAGGTTTGGTAAGGTATCACCTCAGTGGGATGTGTGAGGGAAGGTCAGCGTGTCTCACCTTCCGGCGGCAGATGCGAGTAGCCGGGCCAGACGATGTCCTTGATGTCCAGGTCGCCCTGTCCCTGACTGCCGCCCCAGGAGCGCCACGTGCCGATCTGCCGACACCGGGGCGACCGGGCTGTGATACCGGGCTGTGATACCGGGCTGTGGTACTGCCGACACCGGGACAGGGAGCTGCAATACTGTAATACACAGGGCTGTGATACGGTGATACCCCAGGGCGGAGGAAGAGCGGGATGAGATACCGGGCTGTGATACTGCGAGAGAGCGAGCTGTGATGCGGTGATACACGGGTCTGTGATACCACCGATCCCGGGCTGTGCTACTGCAGCCACTGCAGTGACTACTGAGATACACCTCGCACCAGGCTGTGGTACCGCCGATACCGGGCTGTGATACCGCCGATACCGGGCTGTGATACCGCCGATACCGGGCTGTGATACCGCCGATACCGGGCTGTGATACCGCCGATACCGGGCTGTGATACCGCCGATACCGGGCTATGATACCGGCGATACCGGGCTGTGATACCGCCGATACCGGGCTGTGGTACCGCCGATACCGGGCTGTGGTACCGCCGATACCGGGCTGTGATACCGCCGATACCGGGCTGTGGTACCGCCGATACCGGGCTGTGATACCGCCGATACCGGGCTGTGGTACCGCCGATACCGGGCTGTGATACCGCCGATACCGGGCTGTGATACCGCCGATACCGGGTTGTGATACCGCCGATACCGGGCTGTGATACCGCCGATACCGGGCTGTGATACCGCCGATACCGGGCTGTGATACCGCCAATACCGGGCTGTGGTACACTGCATCTCAGCTGACGGGGGTCACAATCAGTCCAGCAGTGCGTGAACAATATTTCTGAGAAACTTCATCGGCCAACTAACTTTGCTCTCAAAAGGCTTTTAATTTCAGAAGCTGTGCGGACAAGAATTATGGCATTGAAGCTGTCCCACGCTGGGTGGAGAGCAGTGTCGCACGGAGGCGGCTCAGGTGCCGCTGGTGCCAGGCCAACCATTGTCAGACAGGGCCATTGATTGAACCCTCGCCGGCCCAGGGGGTGTCCCCCATAGAGCTTTTCGCGATAGCTCGTAAGATGGACCTCGCCGTCCACAGGGGCATTACTGAAACTCTGCACGGTCCTAGAATGCCGCAACTTTGCAACGCCCTTAATGCCAGAAGAGCTTTCACAGGGAGCTGAAACTTTAAGGACATATGTAGTATCCTCCAAAAGTCTTACAACTTTTATATCTCGGATGTTTCCTTAACGTCACATGAGGCCAGGTCGGTCACGTGACCTCACCAATCACTATTACCTAAATGTTGGCAGGGACGCGATTTTGGCATCATCGTGTTCACCTATAAGCTCAGGCGCGTCGAATACTTTATTTCATTTTATTTATGTTATATGTTTATCTATCTATCTATTTATTCATTTATTTATTCATTTATTTTATTTGAACATTTATATAATACTTAAACTTTATCCCAATACTTTTTGTTCGGGTGAGGTTAACTTTAGGAGTCAGGTCAGGTAAACTTTAGGAGTCAGGTCAGAGCCCCTCAGGTCACGAAGCTGGTCAAAGGAAGTCATATCACATATCATTCGATTTGGCAGGTCTTCCTGAGTCCACTGGTGGCTTATGATAGGTTTTGCCCGAAATTGTTTCAGTCATTCTTGAAAATGTCTTTGATATTATGAAGCTGCAGTTTTCTTTCATAAATAAACTAATTATCAGGAGCCTTAACCCGCGCCCCGCTGGGGGGGGGAGGGGCAGAATCTGCCCCCCTCCCGTTTTTCGCCAATACCTAATATCTAAACGCGTTACGCCAGCGACGTCAAACTTTCAGTACCTTATTATACATCAATGTGACACGTTCCCTGAAAATTGGAGCGAAATCCGTCAAAAATTTTTTGAGAAATTGACGTTTTAGTGACGTAATGTTCGCAATTTTCGCCTTAAAGGGAGATAATGAGCTTTCTTTTTTCTTAAATAAAAATTACTCGACATCTATACTATTTCTACTGTAGTTTCTATAAAATATGAAAATTTTCTAGCACATTTTCGTATGTGAAAAAGGTTTTTATTTTTGCAAAAAAGAAGCAGTACTTGCAGTACTTGTAACACCCACCGAAATGCGTTGTCCTTCTCTATAAAAAAGTCGCAGTATATGGCGCTTTTGTTTCAAACAGCGACGCTTGGGTTTTTGTTTATGTTATCGCCTTGTCGTTGCTTGGTTGTAAGGATTCTAATTTGAATTAGAGTTAATTCGGTTTAGAATTAATTAGATTCTAATTCGGGGGTACATAGTGCCTACTCTTCTTTGTTTCCAAGTATTATTTTGCGCCACAAATGAATGGCATGCGCCAGAAACGCAGCCAAATCTTGCGATTGCGACTACGAAATTCATTATTTTGGCCTCAGAGCCTGAAGCGAAAAATACAAGCATATTTATTTCAAAAAGACTTCAGGTTTGTCGAACGGTGTTATGAGAATTTTGATAACAGTACTGCATAAGTTTTTCAGTGATGCCGCAAAAGTGTTGTATCTATCTTCTTTTATTGTGCAGTCGGCGGGACCGATTCAAAATTGAGTCGTTGCTACTAAAATAGCAGCATATGGCGACAGATGATGAACAGGAAAAATAGTTGCGTAAATTTAGACATAAACCACCCCCAAACCATGAATATCTTTTGAAGGCACTATAGACGACCATTAACTAACTAGATGTGATGAAGATCAAATGTAATGAATACGCTCATTTTACAAAATTACATGCAAGTACCAAAAAGTGATGTAAGTACTTATTCAACGGTCATTTTCAGCGCTCCCCGCTAACGTGACTTCAAGTTGAGATATTTGCGGCAAGGTACCGAATTGAGCAAAATGGTTTTAATTTACATTATAACTTGTTGTGTTTTGTCAGAAAATGGTCCTAACTCAGATTTTGTGGAAAAAGGTCATAATCTCCCTTTAAAAACGGCAAAATTTCAAACGCCGCTAACATCTTCATTTTTAAAGGAATCAAGACGTAACAAAAAAAGGTTATACGTGATTCTACTTTGTCTATCAAATGGCTATCTCGGTTTTTTGAAAATTTTGGATTTTGGCCATTTTTTTTTCCTTCAAAAACTGACTTTTTTGGGAAAATAGTTATAAAATCCAAAATTTTGAGTGTATCGAAAAACCGGAATATATGTCAGAGAACTGGTCTATGTGCACCTACATACCAATTTTTTAGAAGAATCGGTTCAAAAATGTGGGAGTTATTCAAAATTTTATGACGTCATGACACACAACAATTTTCAAAAATGATATTTTTGGAAGTTTTAGACCTCGTACGGAAACAAAAATAGCACCATTCGATTCGCCGTGAAAAACTGCATCAGATAGACAATTTTTTAGGCCTTAACAACCAACTTCAAAATTTGACCTCACTTGACCTGACCTTGACCTGACCTCGACCTGAAATTCATCCAGAGGTGGTCCATATCACTTATTGAGTGTGCCTATTGCATTCTATGAGTAAAATGACCAATAAAACATGTGTCGCACATGTCCTTTTCTATATTTTGTTTTTGGTGTCCTGACCTGACCTGACCTGACCTGACCTTGACCTTGACCTTTGAATGACATTGTATGCAACGAATATTGTCTTGATAGTCTAAGAACACGTTTTGGGCAATCAGTCTCAGTGCATTCTTCGGCAACTACGGTGCAAGGCCGATACTGTAGAAACTTGCATTTTGTACCCTTGACCTGACCTTGACCTGACCTCTGACCTACTTAAGCAAAAAAATTTGGGCTCTTAAGATCCACCTTGTTGAGAGCTTTCGATTGCCGTTTTCCCCGTCTTTCTACGACCATCGGTTCGGAAGTTAGACAGGGGGGCAGAATCTGCCCCCCCCCCCCCCCCAGCAGGGCGCGTATGGCTGAATAGCCCAGCGGGGCGCGGGTTAAGCAAACGCTTTCAGACATAAAATTTAATTTAATGTGACTCTTTATAGTTGACAAATCCGAAGGATCCAAGCGCAAATACGAGTGGTCGAGTGCTGATATATGGGTACCCAAGGTGGCCGTTCCGGGCATATAAATATAAAACAAAAGACCGTCGACTGTCTCACATTTTCAGGAAGTTCGCTGCATTCATTCTCTCGGGCTGCTTTCATTGCATAACTATTCGCCCAGGTTCGGGCAAAGTTGCCGCATTAGGATAGTTAGTGGGTGTGCCAAGTTGCGCCGCCCAGCTCGAGGCTCGCAGGTGGCGATGTGACAACTTTCCGCCGCCCTCTGACGCCGCCTTCCGCCCTCTGGGGCCCTCTGACGCCGCCCTCCGCCCTCTGGGGCCCTCTGACACCGCCCTCCGCCCTCTGGTGGGGCCTCTGACGCCGCCCTCTGGTGGGGCCTCTGACGCCGCCCTCTGGTGGGGCCTCTGACGCCGCCCTCTGGTGGGGCCTCTGACGCCGCCCTCTGGTGGGCCCTCTGACGCCGCCCTCTGGTGGGCCCTCTGACACCGCCCTCTGGTGGCCCTCTGACACCGCCCTCTTCATTGGGCCTTTGGTGCTGACGCCGCCCTCTGGGTGGGCCCTTGCCCCTTGGTGCTGACGCCGCCCTCTGGTGGGTCCTTGGTGCTGACGCCAGGCCCCGGCGCCGCGCGGGGGTCCCTGCTCGCCGTTACCGCGGCCCGGGTCGGGTGGGCTGAATTTGGTAAGTGTATATGTGGTGGTCTCAGTCTGTGGACCCGAGCCGATGTGCAGGTGGCGGTCCGAGCGCCGGTCGAGGCTCGACCAGAAGCGGCAGGTACTTACGTACACGCCATTTATCGTGCAGAGCAAATTCGATGCTCACGTGTCATTAATCAGCATTCCCGGTCGAGCCCACAAACGTATTAGAGTTATGAAATTACTGCACTGTGACAAAAAATATATATTACGCATACGATTGCAATTAAGTACATACGAATAATAACCCTTTTCTAATATCTAAAGAAAACAAAAAAAGTATTACCGCATCACGGTAGGGGATGAATAGTTTCGATAAGTTATTATTAAGTATACCATACCATGTTGTCGATAGCATCGTCTTTCGATCGTACATCTGATTTCCAACGAGCCGTGCTCAGGTCCACATCAAACCCTCCATCCCCCGTGCCCTGAGAAGCGCTGCCGGCTGTGGGGCCGGCCCCGGCGCGGCGCCGGGAAGGTCTGCACTCGCCTCCGGGCTCTGCCCGGCCTTTTTCAGGCTCTGATTGCCCCTCGTTAGCCGACTGATCTGGTACGGAAGGACTCTGGGGCAGGCTGGGACGGAGGGGGGGGGGGGGCGGCACCGGGTCAGGCCGGCCGGAGCACGATACCATAGACGCTCCTTATTTAATTATACGAGACACTGTAGAATCGGTATCAGGATACCGCATGGTAAATCGCAAGGGAGATGTACAGGTTTCGCGAGATTAAGCGGTAGGTTTTGCACTTTTACATTTCCGGTTATATCTCAGAAACTAATCGATCTACGATGAAGCCATTTTACACGATCATGGCCGGCTTGTTACCCAACAAGTCGATCGCATCTTCAACACTTAAAAGCTTAAGACGACGAAGATATAGCCTGAAGTACACTAAATTTTCTAGGTGCAAAACCTACCGCTAAAACCCGCGAGACCTGTACATACCTACTAGAGATGTCAATCGGATACCAACTTTTTGGTATACCGATACCAAACCGATACCAACTTCGTATTTGGTATTTGACTCGTAATCTGTTCGGTATTTTGTTGGTATCATGAACCCTCACTAATGTATAAGAGGCTAAAAAATCGGTAAAAGTTGGTATTTCCCTCATTTTCCCAAGTCGGTTTGGTTTCGGTATTTCCCCGTGGTTTCGGTTGGTATTTGGCTTGGTATCGGTATTCCGATTTTCCGTAATTGACATCACTAATACCTACATACCAATATGTATTGACACACGACAGTAACAAGTACACGCTGTGACTGTGACTGCCACGGGGAGACTGTGACTGTGAGTGTGGGAGTCACTGGCTGTGACTGTGACTGTGACTGTGACTGTGACTGTGATCCCAGGCAGACGGTGTGGGTCGCGCGGCGCCCCACGGGAGACGGACGGACGGACGGACGGACGGACGGACGGACGGGCGGACGGGCGCCGTGACGTTTATTGGAATGATGTGTGCCGCGTCCCGCGGGAGAGGTGCCCGCAGAGGGCGGCTCACCGCCAGCCCAGAGAGCGGCTCACTGCCAGCCCAGAGAGCGGCTCACCGCCAGCCCGGAGAGCGGCTCACCGCCAGCCCGTGTTTTATTTGCTGGCCGGTGGCGGGCGGCTTTTTCTCCCCGCCGATAAATAGCTGGATTAGTGGCGGAGTGGGAGACAACTGTGGCGCGGTCCTGCACTGCTCGGTCTACTGACTGCAGTACCACTGACTGCTGCAGTACCAGTGACTGCTGGTACCAGTGACTGCTGTACCAGTGACTGCTGCAGTACCAGCGACTGCTGCAGTACCAGCGACTGCTGATATGAGAGTGTGATAGTGTCTGTGAATGGAGCCGCTGCCAGGACGAACACTGAGCAAGTTACATACTGTTATTCCGTATCTGAACACCAAAAAGCACTCTGGAATGGTCCAACGATTTTATCACTAAAACATGAACCAAAAGTACTAAAAAAACTCACACCTTTTGTAATGTAGTCTATAGGTGCGCCTATTGCATGCATTATGAAATTTTCTGGAAACTATGTTACGTGACACTGATTATTGTGCTATGACTGCAAGTGCACAACGATCACTGTCAAACTGCGGGATAACAAATGATCATTTCGTGTGACAAAAAGAACGATAGGTAACAGTATCCTCTATCATTACTGTCACAGCCACGCGCTGTCCTTTTATCCTGGCCGGCCTGCCCGGGAAGTGTCGCAGTGTTGCAGTAACGAGCGCCGCCGCTGTGCCAATTGTCGGCCGGGCCGGGTGTGACGGTGCCCGCCGCTGTGCCGGCTCGTTAGTCCGACTGTGAGCGCTGTCCGGTCCGCCGCGCCGCCCGCCTACTGACGGCCGCCCGGCGATCACTGCACGTGTCTGTATCGCCATCCACTCAGCCGGCGCCTTGATGCCGCTCGTGCTCGGGAAGCCGACCGGCACCTGGCGCGGTTACGGCGGCCGCCCCAGGGCTACATGTGGGGCGTGGGCACCACCGGGAGTCGAACGGTGACATCCGGGGCTCGGTGCCGGGGGTCCCCCTCCCCTGCCTGCCCGGGGACTCCCCACTCCCCATCCTTTGTGAGCCACTGAAAGTGGGAAGCTGTAAGGCATTGCACATCCATATGCGGCTGCGCTGGCAAGCAGCACCGCTGTGGCGTTCAGAGGGTGTTGAAATGAAGTATACCGCGATGGACGATGGATTGTTTTCGTTCGCAGGCCTGATACGGCCACGCATCTGACCTGCTGCGGCGGCTGGAGAGGCTCAGTGCCGATCAGCTGGTGTCGCGCCACACGCCCAGCCTGCTGCACAAGGCACACTGCTACCATATGATCGGGAAAATTGGCTGCAGTCGGGGATTGTTTGTGCCAAAATTTGGCGTGTGCAATACATTACACAGCCGGATACTCTGTCCCATTTGACTGACCTCAACTGGCCGCGGCCGCTCCCACCAACCTCAGACCATCCTCATCAGTCATCCAGAACCACACATAAATCGGGCGCCGGAGCGGCTCGAACCAGTGCTCTCACCGACGGAAAACCACTGCTATATCTAGGAGACGGACGGAAGTTTGAAGCGTAAAGTTATTTCGGCTTGTTCGTGCCAAAGTGGATGGACCGATTCTGGAGTTATTCGCTGGTTCGACGGAAAACAACACGTGATTGAACGGCTGACAAAGTGGAGCCGACGGCAGCTGAGCTCAGAGACAGAGCTGCGAATGCGTTATTCCGCCCCGTCTCACCGGCATTTCAACGATAACCAACAGCAAGGCGTTGAAGAGCGGGATCCCAGTCGTTCAGCCTTTCGCTGCCTCCGTGGCCGGCAGAGACCGTGTGTGACTGCAGACCAGCTGGTCCGGGCCCGGCAGAGACCGTGTGTGACTGCAGACCAGCTGGTCCGGGCCCGGCAGAGACCGTGTGTGACTGCAGACCAGCTGGTCCGTGGCCGGCAGAGACCGTGTGTGACTGCAGACCAGCTGGTCCGGAGGATGACCGGAGGGACGGCGGACGGCCGGCGGCCACCTCCGGGACCGATCAGGTGGCTCCGCTCCCGCGGTGTACACGAACTGGAGACTTTAAACGGCTGTCGGTGGATGGATCTACGATGTACAGCTGTGCACTAGCAACTCCTCAGACCGGTCTGATGTGCCGTTCTGTGGCCGGAGCCCTGTGGCCGGAGCCCTGTGGCCAGCTAAGAGCTGCGACCCGCAGTTATACTGAGCTTGCAGGTCAGGCAGACGGTAGGACAGACAGACGGCTGGACTGACAGTAGTTTGACACGCCGTCAGCCCCCCCCCCCCCCCACACACACACACGTCAGTCCTGGTGTGGGCTTCTCCCGGTCAGAGTCGGCGCGACAGAGCCGAGGCAGAGCCGAGAGAGGGAGAGAACCGAGGGAGAGACAGAGCCGAGGGAGGGACAGAGCCGAGGGAGGGAGACCCCTGAAGTGTTACCGGAAAAACGCGCAGGAAGGGGAGACGTCGGTGCCGGCTTCCTCTGAGCGCTCAGCCCTGGCGCCCTCACCACCGAGCGTGTCGGCGAGATGGTGCCGGGCTCATTTCTGGGTCACGGGAGCTCATATGGCGCTGTCCTGCGTCCTGGGTCTCGGGTGCTCATATGGCGCTGTCCTCCGTTCTGGGTCACGGGCGCTACTGTAGCGGCGCTGACAAATGGCTCTATCGAAATTTGGACAGTGCCATAGTAATGCATGATATAAACGGACTTTTGTCCGTCTACATATATCATGCATTAGCTGATATGCAGCTGTCCGTCTATCATCATGCATGCATCATAGTCCGTTGATACTTGTGTGTGCCCACAGTGTGCCGAGGAAACCAGTCACCAGACATTCCTGTTGATTGACAGACAGCTGAACACTAGAGTGAGCACTAGCGCGCTATGAGTTGGCGAGGTGGCCGCGGACGGCGCTGGGCCGGTGTGCGGCGGCGGCCGCTGCCGGCCGACCGGCAAACGCTCCGCATATTACAGGCCTCCGTAATCCCAGCACTGGGCAGAGATAACTTTCGGAAGTTCGTGATTGCTATACTGGTTTTGTTATAAATTGCATGGTAGGACATCAATCATAAAAATGTGAGGAACTACTGTTGGAGCTCTAATCCAAACGCCGCCGCCGGGGCTGCAATAATTTTCCCGCAGAGCAGCTAATCGGCCGGCGGCCGAGCGCTTCCAGCGCTATTAGCTGCACAATCTCCACTGGCTGCTACATGATAACCTCTGAAACAACCACTCCTGACTTCAATCCTGATAACCTCCGCCACAATCTTTCCTGACTGCTATCCCGATCAGTGTCAGTGTCAGTGTCAGTGTCAGTGTCGGTGTCAGTGTGTCAGTGTCAGAGTAACTACTCACCGGCTCCCAGGCCTTGGCGCCGCCGGTGTGTCAGTGTCAGTGTGTCGGTGTCAGTGTCAGTGTCAGTGTGTCGGTGTGTCAGTATGTCAATGTGTCACTCACCGGCTCGTAGGCCTTGGCGCCGCCGGTGTGTCAGTATCAGTGTGTCAGTGTGTCAGTGTGTCGGTGTGTCAGTGTGTCAGTGTGTCACTCACCGGCTCCCAGGCCTTGGCGCCGCTGGTGTGTCAGTGTCAGTGTGTCAGTGTCAGTGTGTCAGTGTCAGTGTGTCAGTGTCAGTGTGTCAGTGTCAGTGTGTCAGTGTCAGTGTGTCAGTGTGTCGGTGTGTCAGTGTGTCAGTGTGTCACTCACCGGCTCCCAGGCCTTGGCGCCGCTGGTGTCGGAGCGCAGGTTGCGGATGGTCAGCTCCACCGCCGTCCGGCCGCCGTTGGCGTCAAACGCCAGCTCGGGCTGGTTGTGCGCACCCGGCACTCGGACGCTGCGCAGGTACCTGCCACGGAACAGGCCGGACGGGCCGTCACACACCAGACTTAACGAGCGCCGAAACACACACAAAGGTACCTGGCCACGGAACAGGGCGGACGGGCCGTCACACACACACACACACACACACACACCAGAGTTAACGAGCGCCGAAACACACACAAAGGTACCTGGCCACGGAACGGGGCGGACGGGCCGTCACACACACAGCGAATGGGTAGCTAAGCACACAGAGGGAACGAGCGCTTACACAACGTACACACAGAGTTAACGAGCGCTTACACAAAGTGCACACGGAGTTAACGAACGGGGAACGCCTACGGCCCTACATGCACTTTGTACAGTTAAAAAACAAAACAAAACAAAACAAAACAAAACAAAACAAAGCAAAACAAAACAAAACAAAACAAAACAAAACAAAACAAAACAACAAACCAGCGGCCTCACACAGGGCTCACCACCAGCAATTAGGCATACACAGTACACAACAGCCGAGCGACTACTGCATCAGAAATGTGATTAGGACACCTGCTTAACTACCGAATTTCGGGTTCACAAATACTAAGCCCGAAAAATGATAATTATTATCGTTGGTTCATGAAGCGCTCGTAATGAATTAAGTGTTATAATTTCATATCTAGTTTTCTTTCTCCCCAGCTCCCCTTTTCATTCAGTTTTGCTGTCCACATTTCTGCAAGTTCGGATGGCATAACAAACTGCTTACACCACAATCAGCCCATGACATGCTAACATTTACTGAGGTAACTAGGCAAAGTATATGTTAACATGGGCACGGTAACAAATGTGCAGATATTTAGCTGTAAACGTATACTGCATTAACTGCTACTGCGTACGTTGTATTATGTATGACGTATGTAACTGGAGTATGAATGCAATAGAAGAAGTGCCAAAGTAAGTAGCCAAAAGTTGTGCTACGGTAGCGCCACAAAGGTGAGCATAAACGGAAACTTCCCGAGGACAGCGACAACTGTTTGTCGCGTTTCGTCCGGCTCTGCCCCGCCGCCGCGCGGCCGCGCACAGTGGGGGAAGTTTCGCCGTCCGTCCGTCCGTCTCGGCGACTCACAATTGGATGACACCGGCACGACGACACAACACACCGCCCAGCCAAAGAACCCGCTCCCTTTGAGAGCCTGTCAAAACACCTCGGCTCAGGACTGGCGGCCGATTTCAGACATCTGAATTGATATAACCGGACGCTGCCGGCTGGGGCGGGGCCGGGCGAATGAATCCCTTGGAAATAGCCTGAGCTTTATTGTAGCTGCCTCCTGCGGGGAGGGCGGGGAGGGGGGAGGGAGGGAGCCTGCTAGGGAGGGGGAGGAGGGTCGTCAGGAGGTGGGGGGGGGGGAAGAAGGGGTCCGTCTCACCGCTACACAGTTGTGACAAAATAATTGATCATCATGTTATCGTGCAGCCGTAAAGCTGCATAAGGCTACATGGATGGGACAATGGTTACCCAGGAGGAGCGAAAAAAAAAATACATACGAGTATGCCTACATAGACCAGCTAGTCAAAGCAGTAGCTCTGAGGTTAGAGTCTAACACCTCTCTCTCTCTCTCTCTCTCTCTCTCTCTCTCTCTCTCTCTCTCTCTCTCTCTCTCTCTCTCTCTCTCCCCAGCAAAGGTGGCTCTCTTCCTCCCCTATTTGCTCTCCTTTACTGTTTGTTTGCTGAAGCCCGCTGGCGGACAGATACATGTGTTTAATGATAGAGAGACTAACATAAATAGATCAATAGGCGAGGGAAAGAAGCAGATGGAGGAATACAGGAGTAAGAAAGAAAGAAAGAAATAGAAGAGGGAGAGAGAGAGGAAGAAAAAGGATAGAGAGAGAGAGAGAGAGAGAGAGAGAGAGAGAGAGAGAGAGAGAGGGAGGACTAGGGTTACGGACAAGAAGAGCTAGTTGTAGAATTTGAGGGAGGCTTTCTCTGTGCCCGGTGCGCCGTGTTAGTGCGGGACGGACCACCAGTGACTAGGTAATGTGTACTAGAGGTGGCAAAAGATGAAAATTTTGGGAACCAGACTCGAACCAGACCCGGCTGGACATTTCTGGAACCAGTCGGACCCGGTCTTAGTTGGAATCGGAACCAGTTGGACCCGTTCTCCAAAAGTCAATTAATACAAACTACTTGTAGGTATCATTAGTTGCATCATGCAAGAGAGCCTATTTCTAATTGGGAATACTCATGAGCTTCTGTGTGCAAAGAAACATTCATATTTTGCAATAATGTGTAGTGTGCAAGATGTATAATTTATGGTAGGACCCGGTTGGACCCGTCAGAAAATTTCCAGGAACCGGTCTGGACCCATATGGGTCCAGACTGGTTCTTTGGACCGGGTCCTCGGGTCCACATTTTGCCACCTCTAATGTGTACCTACCGGGGCCGGCCGGTCCATACACATTACACACAGTACACATTAGACACACGCCACACACAGTGGCCAATGGTACCGGTCACGCGTCATGTCCCACACGCAGGCACGTGCTATTTGTGACCGTCGGGCGGCGGGAGCACGCGGGGACCGGCCCGCCAGCCCGCCCCGGGCGGAACGGCGGGAGCACGCGCGTACCGGCCCGCCAGCCCGCCCCGGGCGGAACGGCGGGAGCACGCGGGGACCGACCCGCCAGCCCGCCCCGGGCGGAGCGGAACGGCGGGAGCACGCGGGAACCGGCCGCCAGCCCGCCCCGGGCGGAACGGCGGGAGCACGCGGGGATCGACCCGCCAGCCAGCCACGGGCGGAACGGCGGGAGCACGCGGGGACCTGCCCGCCGGGCGGATGTCCATGAAGGCAGCAACGCATTCGTATACGCATGAATATGCTGCTTAAAATATGGCACATGTGAGATAAGGGCCCCTATAGGAAGCCCCTATAGGCCCCTGTGTGAATTTGAGCGAAGTCGCAGGGGTCCCCGGATGCGTTTTTGAATGCGCATACGAATACGTTGCCGTCTTCATGGACATCCGCGGGCGGCCGGAGCACGAGCGGCGCCCACCGCCTGTTCAGTTCCGACCGACAACTGCTACCGCGGGAATAGGCGGCCGTGAGCTACACTGGTACAGCGGGAATAGGCGGCCGTGAGCTACACTGCTACCGCGGGAATAGGCGGTCGTGAGCTACACTGCTACCGCGGGAATAGGCGGTCGTGAGCTACACTGCTACCGCGGGAATAGGCGGTCGTGAGCTACACTGCTACCGCGGGAATAGGCGGCCGTGAGTTACACTGCTACCGCGGGAATAGGCGGTCGTGAGCTACACTGCTACCGCGGGAATAGGCGGCCGTGAGTTACACTGCTACCGCGGGAATAGGCGGTCGTGAGCTACACTGCTACCGCGGGAATAGGCGGCCGTGAGTTACACTGCTACCGCGGGAATAGGCGGCCGTGAGTTACACTGGTACAGCGGGTATAGGCGGCCGTGAGTTACACTTGTACAGCGGGAATAGGACGGCCGTGAGTTACACTGGTACAGCGGGTATAGGACGGCCGTGAGTTACACTGGTACAGCGGGAATAGGCGGCTGTGAGTTACACTGGTACAGCGGGAATAGGCGGCTGTAAGTTACACTGGTACAGCGGGAATAGGATGCTGTAGGACGGCTGTGTGAGCGGTAATAAGACCGCTGTAACAGCGTAACATGACGGCTTTAACTGAGACCAGTGGCGCAGGAACCGGGGGGCCCCGCTAACAAATGGCTGGCGGGGGCTGAGCCCCACCAACTTTTCGGCTCGGGGGCTCGTAATGTATTTGAGCCCCTCCAACTGAAGGAATCAAAATCAGAAATCTACCAACATAATTTCATAGATTCACATATAGGCGCGGGAACCGGGGGCAATGCGGGCAGCTTGCCCCCACAAGTCTGGGGCCGTAGGGGCGGTGCCTCACAACTTCTCATGAGGCCAGGAACCGTTGGGGCAGCTTGTCCTCCCCAAATTAGGGGCTGTAGGTCACAAAGGAAGAAAGCATGGAAGTGAAAAATCCACCCCTTTCACTGGCTCGGCAACTCATTTGGCAGATTAAAACATTTATTCCAGGTTGCCAAAACGGTAAGTTCTTCACTCAGCTGACTGCTGAGGCCTGAGACGGAATATCTCACTTTTTTTTTATTGCAAAGGCCAAGGTCTGAAAAATAAGTGGCCTAAAACCGGTGAGAAAACTAGATTTGGGGGTACCCTAGGTTTATCTCTATTACGGTGCAGCCCCCCCCCCCCCCCCCAGTCTGGAAAAAGTTCCCGCGCAACTGACTGAGGCGTTTGAAGAGTTTCTGCACTGGAGCGACTGCAGGACTAGATGAGATCTCAAGGCGGTGTCTGCAAAGGTCTGAGCAGGCGAGGGAGCTTGACACCTTCAAATGTTCTTCCAAAATTAATGTTTTTCGGTATCACACTCACTGTGCGAGATGTCACAACAGAGCCAGAACATTTGAAACGACTGATGTGGCATTGCTTAGATGTCTCCTCGTTCTCGCTTGTTACGTTTCGGACTTTACTGTTGCATTTTTATTACTACGGGCATTAAGTGCTCCTTTTTCGTTATGTGCCGTCTTTCGTGCATAAACCTATCTTCGAGAAGAGGAGTTTCACCCCGATCAACATATTTTCGGTACCAACTACGTAGACGCTCGTTCCGAATAGCAATTATCGAGATCAAACGACGATAATAATTAAACAAAGTCGGGTATTTCTAATGAAAAAGCTAGTGCCAGCTAAAACCGGATCATTCCCTTATTGTAACTGCTACTTACCGGGCTAAGCACCTCTATAAAAAATGAACGGAAACCCGTCTTGCAGTATGACCCCATGACCTCAGTTAACACCCAGCGAGTGCTGGTGAGATGTCGACAGGCCCCCACTGCTCCGCCGATCTGCCGGCCGCCGGCGACCGCGGCACCATCTCAGATATCAAACCGCTCTCTGGTTATGGACCGTCTCCGTCCCAAGGCCAAGTGATGATTTCTTTTCTGCAGACAGACAGAGAGACAGACAGACAGACAGACAGACAGACAGACAGACGGGCGGCAGAGTGTCTTTTTCTGGGCCGCCTGGACAGCCAATCTGCTGTTCCTCTTCTTCGCGGGACGGCCGGCCGCCGGGAAACGGTCGAGGGATTTACGGTCCACCCGGCGCGTCACCGACCGTCTGTGGCCGCCTGTGGCCGTTACTGACCGTCACTGACCGCCATTGACCGCCTGTGGCCGTCACTGGCCGTCTGTGAGTGCATCAGATTCAGGTCGTCTCTGGCCGTGTCTGCCGGCCCACTGAGGTGATATATCGTCGGATCGAGCTCTGATCGGGATATATCCGGCCGCGCCGCGGCTCCGACTGTGACCAGTCCACCGCTGCTCTGGCGGCTCCGACTGCGACCAGTCCACCGCTGCTCTGGCGGCTCCGACTGTGACCAGTCCACCGCTGCTCTGGCGGCTCCGACTGTGACCAGTCCAACGCTGCTCTGGCGGCTCCGACTGTGACCAGTCCACTGCTGCTCTGGCGGCTCCGACTGTGACCAGTCCACTGCCGCTCTGGCGGCTCCGACTGTGACCAGTCCACCGCTGCTCTGGCGGGCGGCGGCTCCGACCGCGACAGTCCACTGCTGCTCTGGTGGCTCCGACTGCGACCAGTCCACTGCTGCTCTGGCGGCTCCGACTGTGACCAGTCCACCGCTGTTCTGGCGTCTCCGACTGTGACCAGTCCACTGCTGCTCTGGCGGCTCCGACTGTGACCAGTCCACTGCCGCTCTGGCGGCTCCGACTGTGACCAGTCCACCGCTGCTCTGGCGGCTCCGACCGCGACAGTCCACTGCTGCTCTGGTGGCTCCGACTGTGACCAGTCCACCGCTGCTCTGGCGGCTCCGACTGCGACCAGTCTGCTGCTGCCTGAGTCTCACTGCGACCAGTCTGCTGCTGCGGCCACGGGGCTGTCCGGCGCCGCTTCAAATGAGGTCCGGCGGGCCGCCGTTACCGGGATGGAACGGCGGCGGCGGAGTGTGGCGGCCACCCGCCGACCCCCGGACGGACACCTGATGACCCCCGGACGCCGGAGACATGACCGGCGGTCAGCGAGCCGCCCCCCCCCCCCCCCCTCCCGGTAACGGCGTCAGAGCGGCCGTGAGAACACATTCGTCAGTGTGGCCTGTACCGACGCGCGTCACTCACCCCGGCTGTGTGACGGATAGCGACACTTCGACAGCACTCAATGGATTCTGCTCAGGCATTCCTCTAAACATGTTAGCAAATGTGCTGTAAACTTTGTCCGAAGGTATCTACATAGAATATCAGAATAGCCATGTTTCATGAGATTCTCAATACGAGTAAGCCCGACTCTGACTTCTCTCGGTTGTGTAATCTGATACCGTGTCAGCTCCCCGAGCGGCCCCAGCTGTGACTGTTTCCCCGGCTGTGTATTGCATGTATATGATCGTATCAGCTCCCCCAGCGGCGTCAGGATTGGTTGATCGTGCCATTTCCCGACCCGTGTATACAGTCGTGTCATTTCTCCCGGCCGTGTAGGTATAAAGTCGTGTGGCCGGTGGCGTGTCATTTCTCCCGGTCGCATGTCGGCCGAGGAGCGGCTGGTCGGGTGAGCTGCCAGCGTGCAGCGGCCGAGCGGCTGGTCGGGTGGGCTGCCAGCGTGCAGCGGCCGAGGAGCGGCTGGTCGGGTGGGCTGCCAGCGTGCAGCGGCCGAGGAGCGGCTGGTCGGGTGAGCTGCCAGCGTGCAGCGGCCGAGGAGCGGCTGGTCGGGTGGGCTGCCAGCGTGCAGCGGCCGAGGAGCGGCTGGTCGGGTGAGCTGCCAGCGTGCAGCGGCCGGGGAGCGGCTGGTCGGGTGAGCTGCCAGCGTGCAGCGGCCGGGGAGCGGCTGGTCGGGTGAGCTGCCAGCGTGCAGCGGCCGAGGAGCGGCTGGTCGGGTGAGCTGCCAGCGTGCAGCGGCCGATCGCGCTGTAGCCGACTCACCGCGGCAGTTTCCGTCACCTGTGGGCGCCCTGTGGGACCCTGCGGCCGTCCTGTGACGTCCTGTGGAACACTGTGACTATCCTGTGGGCAGGGCTGCGGAGTCGGAGTCGGAGTCGGAGTCGGAGTCGGTCGGAGTCGACAGTTGTGACCGGAGTCGGAGTCGGAGTCGGAGTCGATTTTAGAAACCCGAGCCGGAGTCGGAGTCGGAGTCATCGAAAATCTGTCGACTCCGCAGCCCTGCTAGGTCTGCGGAGTCGGAGTCGGGAGTTGGAGTCGGTCGGAGTCGACAATTCTGCCCGGAGTCGGAGTCGGAGCTGGTTTTTGAAAGCCGGAGTCGGAGTCGGAGTCGGAGTCGCCGAAAATCCATCGACTCCGCAGCCCTGCCTGTGGGCGCCCTGTGGCCATCCTGTGGCCGACCTATCCATCATGGGGCGGCTCATTATCTGAGCGATCGGTCGGCGCTCGCTTGCTCCCAATCTGAGCGGCTGCCGCGGCGCGCCTATCCGCCGCCAATAGATGGTGTCGGAGCCGGCAGCCGGAGATATGGCACTGCCGGGCACGGCGGCGCCGCCGGATTGGAGTGGGAACGGCTGGACGGGGGTGAGTGACGACGGCCCGGCCGGCCGGCCCGGCGGGACCGTGCGACAGACGGCGGGGGGCGCCGTCACTCGTGACAGGTCACTGATCGACAATACCAGCTGAGCGGTGGGAATGAAGGTAGTGATTCCATGCCACTGTTTGTCTTTTTTTGTTTTGAAATTTTGTCCGAATGGATGAATGGGTGGCTACGGGCCCGGGTGCCCCGCTAAGCAGTGCTTGTTGCGAATGACACCACGGACCCACCACCCCACTTTGCCCGCGCCCGGTTCACCGGTGATAATTTGGATCGAAAGTTTAACGTGCCGCAGGTAGATGGCGGCACGGTCCTCCCGGGTCTAGCGTGGCCCTCTCTCGCCAGTTGCCAGCTGGCTTAATATAGGAACGCGGGTCAAACGACGTGGAGCTTCCCGGCCGCGAACTCGCTGCCACCGAGTTAGGAGACGGACGCCTTATCCACTAGGCCACGGGGAGGATTTTTGCAAATGATTCAATAAGAAAGAAGTGAGAAGCCGGTATCATTATTACCTAACTATCATTATAATGCCACACGAATCCAGGAGAGTCAATAAGGTCATCTTTAAGAAGTGCCCACCCCGCTGTGGCTATCAGGTGATGCATGATGTCTCAGATGTGAGGGTGGTGTGACATTGTCCGTGGCGGTGGTCCGACCTGTCGGGGTCGGAACTGGCGACAATCGGCGGCCGTCGCCAGCTCTCTGGCCAAACAGCCCCGAGTGTTTGCGGCTTCTGATGGCCCATCCGGCTCCATTCGGACAGAAATATCAGACCATGAGATGGATGGGTTAAACAGGCCGGCGCCGGCGGCAGCGGACACCCGACCATAACCGGCGGCCCGGCGCGCGCCGCCGCTTCTCCGAGCCGTGACGGAAACACTGCCGTCGGCTCAGGAGCGGGCCGCTCCTCGGCCGCCCGCTCCATTGTCATTCAGCTGGTTCGCGCTTTATTCCATATGTGACTGACGGCATCACATTCTCTCTGTAAACGCGAGTACTGCGCCCACTTGATCCGCGCTCCGACCGTAAAATTATTTATGTGCACAATGCATCAGCCTCGGGGCTTTTCTAGGCGATTCACTTGAATTCTTCAGCTGAAAATAAAGAACAGGGACGGCTTTCTGTGAACTTGGACAGCAGCCAGCCTTAACATAAATATACTGTGTCATTGTGTACAGAGTATACCAGACTCGTTGTACGCGCAGGAGAACCTATGCACGGCTCCCTCCCCTCCCCACCTCTCTCACCGGTAGAAGCGACCCCCCCCCCCTCTCACCGGTAGAAGCGCTCCCCCTCTCACCGGTAGAAGCGCTCCCCCTCTCACCGGTAGAAGCGCTCCCCCTCTCACCGGTAGAAGCGCTCCCCTCTCACCGGTAGAAGCGCTCCCCCTCTCACCGGTAGAAGCGCTCCCCTCTCACCGGTAGAAGCGCTCCCCCTCTCACCGGTAGAAGCGCTCCCCCTCTCACCGGTAGAAGCGCTCGCCCCCCCCCCCTCCCCTCTCACCGGTAGATGCGCTCCCCTCTCACCGGTAGAAGCGCTCCCCTCTCACCGGTAGAAGCGCTCGCCGTCTGCCCAGCGCGACTGTCCGCCGCCGGTGCAGGAGAGCGCCGGGCTGAGGCTGAGGTTGCCGGCCGCCGCCCGGTCCCGGTACAGCAGCTCCAGGCCGTGAGCGTACACCGTCATGGCGCGACCGATCGCCTCCTTCAGGCTCTCCTCGTCCGTCCGGAAATGGACGCCTGCAGCGACAGGGGGTAGCCGGAGATCAGTAACCACGGAACGGGTACATCACCCCCGGCGGCAGGGGGTAGCCAGGAGATCAGTAACCACGGAACGGGTACATCACACGTGGCGGCAGGGGGTAGTCGGCATACCACCCCTGCTGGTGTACCACGCCGGGCGGTCGGCATACCCACCCGTAGTTGGTTTACAACCCCTGCTAGTTGGCATATAACCGTCCGTGCTGAGCGGTATACTAGGTGTGAATTTCAAGACAGTAATATGCAGTCGGCTGAGCCGTAATAAACAATTTCAGACCACATGAAGCCGCCAGAAGTCTCGTAATTCTGCTATAAAGGCCGATGTGACAGTGCATAATTGAGGTCCGCTATATACCGCTCCATTGTCAGTCCGTCCCCGTTTGGCCGCTGAAATGGCGGCGGTAATCCCCCGGCTCCATTTGGAGATGCAGCGCCGCGCAGACGACGGACGGGCCGACAGGAGGGTTAGTTATTCAGGGAGCGGCGCTGGTTATTCGGGGAGCAATTATAATAAGGGGGATATATAAGCATATTCATATCTCTATACTCAGGGAGATATATAAGCATTTTTAAATGGTTCTGTTTTTTAGATCCGATGTAAGTATAGGCGATTATGCGTACCTTTTTGCCGGAAGAGGCTGAAACACACTCTTTCGGCATATACGCAGGAAATCGAATCCATCAGCCTTTTCCAATAAATTGCCTCCCCCCATATCAATCGCACGCACGGGGTACTGGCGAATTGCACCCCTGGAATACCTACAGTGACGTCATGGACCTTAGCCTGACTGGTCGTGAGACATTGTTGAGATCACGGATCAAACATTGGGTCCATGCAATTAAAGGTACACGTTTCCTATGGAACACGTAAGTACATAGAAAGGTATCTATCGTGCATGTAGTTATGCATGCATGCGGGTAATTAGCATCCATGATCTGAATGCGTGTATGTTTGCACGAATGGATGTATGTATGTATGCGTTGTATGTAAGTATATGTATATGTGTGTATGTAATAGGTATGTATATTTGTAGGTATGTATGCTTGTAGACATGTAAATGTGTATGTTTGTAGTTATGCAATATGCATGTCTGCATTTAGAGAAATGAAAGCATGATTTTATGTCGAATCGCCTGTTGCTCAATTGGCCGCTTATTAGCCCGTTCATGTTGAGAAAAACTTCAATTTAACTGTTTTAGCAATTGTGATGCTTTGGTCCATTCGATATTGCAATGGTCGATATTTTATCCCTCAGTTTTTTCCCCAAAAAAGATAAGGCTTAGAGTCAAGGGCCATACCTTGACCAGCTTTTGACGAATGCTGATTGCTGAATGCCTCATTTATTTTAGTACATAGACCGCAAAATATGATGTTAAGTTTTATAAACAAATGCAGACAATGCATAATGCATACACATTTTTCATTCTCTCATTTTTTTTTCTTCTAATTTTACAGAGGCACCTCACTAGCAAAAGTTTTGTGTTGCCTTGGACAAACTAAAAAAAAAAAACTATTGGAACAGACGCTCACTGGCGAGTTCAGTTGACCTTCACGGGCTAATGTGTGTAGGTACAAACTGTCTTAAAAGTACCGCGCAAATTAACGGTGGACCCATCAAGCCTGACCAAGGAAGGACTGCTATAATTTGAAAGTCACCGAACCAATTGACCTGGGACGAGCACTGTAAAAAATGTTTACTATTTTTTAGTTATCCTGCCACTTTTCACTAACTACATAGGAGTAAACTTTACTTTAACTAACAAAATACGAGTATTACTCGCACTTCAAGTCTACTCGCATTTTGTTAGTGAAAAGTGGCCGGATAACTAAGAAATAAGTAAACATTTTTTTACAGTGAGGACGTCCTTCACTGTAAGGACTGCGGTGACTGCGGTGACTCAAATTTAGCAGTCCTTCCTCGGTCAGGCTTGATGGATCCACCGTTACTTTGCGCGGTACTTTTAAGACAGACTGTACAATATACATACAATGTACTCGGCATAATGTAGAGTAGACGAGACCATAACAATTAAGTTTGTTTCTGATAGGCTCATCTTTGCGTAGTCGAAAAAAATGTTATAAATTATTAGTGCCAAAAAAAGAAAAAAACGGTACGTTCTGCACTGTAACAAATGACAATTGAGATATGTAAGCTTAGCCCTCGTGCACATAATTATAGAAGGTGAATTGAACGGACACCCCTCGTTTTTTTTACAAATAACTGGCGGAAAAGGCGAGGAATTGCAAGAACGTACGCTCCAGTCATTCAATTCTGCATCTTATCTAAGAATTCGATGACCCTTACCCAAATGACATTTTGCCAGCTGCAGCAAAATCAGTTGGGAAGTTAAATCACCTAGCGTGGCCTGATGGTCTGGAGTCAGGAATGAGCAAAAACTCACTTGATAAATCTAAGAAGAGTTTCACCAAATAAATGGCGCCGCGCATCGCCGTTTCTGGGATATCTCAGACCTGTCGACCAGTGGATATCCACCTGTTGCGATATCCATCTCATCAGATATGGGCCTGCAGAAATGGCCGCCTTGTACGCGGGCTATTGTAACTCGCTATTGGCATCAGTGGTTGCTTCTATTGGCGCCATGGCTAGCGTGGATCATTACTACCTTGCTATTCAGTTGAACAATGCAACAAAACAAGCCTCTTAACGTTGAACTAATTTGAATGTCAATCCCGCCTCCAACAAGATGTCAACAGCCCACCCCGCAACTCAGGCAATTACCGCCCCCCTCAACAGCAGCACGCAGAGACGGGATGAGCTACTCAGCGGGACGCACCAAAACAAAACAATTACCCTCCCCATGCAAATCTATTAACCAAACTTCCACCACAGAGCCGCAGTTCGGGACTTGAACAGCGCTCTGCACAGCTGCTGACAGACAATGGGGCACATTCAGTCCCCCACATTCAGTCCCCAGCCAGCTCTGGCCGGTCGCTATGGAAACACCTGCCGGATAGCCGAGACTGGCTCAGCGGTCGGCCCACTCAGCGCAGAGAACCGTGAGCTGTGCTGGTTCTCACCGAACGGTGAGTTGTGTCCTGCTCTCACGGAGCGGTGAGCTGAGCCATGCTCTCACCCACGGGCCCAAGGGCCATCATCAATACCCACAGTGCCTACCGACAGTTCTGGCAGGACCGACACTTACCAACAGCACCAGCAGTTCCCGTGCCTATACAGTATACATGTTACAGTTAGTATGCGAAATCCGTTAGTTTGCAACACAACTAGTTACGTTGCAAACTACCTGACCGGCCAGGTAGACCTAGTTACTTTGCAACGGAACTAGGTGTGTTGCAACGGAACTAGTTGTAATGCGAAATCGACGAGGCAGTGGCTCTATTTGTCGTTTATATTCATCTTTTATGTAAATTTTAGCAACGGTTGTTAAAACAAAGCTGTGTTTTTCTAACGTGTGACACTAGACATACGTGTAGGACGGGTGGTCACATTTATGGATGAAAATTGAAACAGTTTCGACTAGTGACTACATAATGTGACGATCACTGGCGGATCCAGAGGAGGGGCAGTTCCGGGGGGCATTTTACGATTTTGATTTTTTTAGACACCCACTAACACCAGTCACCACAGCCGTCGCACAGAACAGAACTGAACTGTATTGTCCCATTTTGTCCCGTGATCCAGGGTAAGCGTGCGATCAAGAATCTGTCTCACCGGGCGACTCCTACTGCGACTTGCCTAGCCAGGTGACCTAGCGGTGCCGGGTCATTCGGTAACAGCCAATGAGCAGAGGGCAGGTTGCGTCACAGAATGATCGGTTGTGGAGGTAGGAGCTCGTCAGCGACTCGGTTCTGGAATATTCCGAAATCGGCAGCAGAACCTTTACTTTCCGCTTATCCCGCGCCCCACTGGGGTCTGTGTATAACACGCCCTACGGGGGGGGGGGGCTATTCATAGACTCCCCCTTCTTACTCCGAAACTACTGGTCCGATCGTCAAAATTCAAACGGCATCTAATAGCCCCGGAAAAACTGTCGAACGAAACCAAATTTCATTGACCTCGAGGTCACCGATATCGTCACAGGTCAGGTCAAAGTAAATATTATTGATATTTGGCTTGTTCACCTTTTGGGCTCTATGGCTGCCGTCTTACAAGTCAGATCAGGCTGATTTTTGGTTTACACACTCTTGAACAGATGCTTTAGATATTCTGAGGGTACCAAACTTGTAGGTACTTTGATTTTCAGGTCAGGGTCAGGTCATCATAGGTCACGGAAATCTTATGTCATAAGTCGGTCACGTGACACATGGTTTATGGTCCATTTAGGCTATAGATTTCGAATTCGGTGTCGCCTGTGTCAGTTGAGGCCATTTTCATCTGAATATAGCTGAGGTCAGGTCACTTTCAGGTCAAAAAAGGTCAAATTTTAAAGTTGAAATTTTTCAACAAAAAACATGTCTATCGGATGCAGTTTGAGCTCAGGAACACGATGGTGCTGTTTATATTGGTGTGCGATGTCAAATTGGTACAGAAAAATTGATTTGAAAATTCAAAATTGTGAAATTTTTGCTATAATGCGTATAACTTGACCATTTTTTAAGATATCTGGCTAAAACTTGCTAGGTTAAGTCATAAGCATGTGTTCTATAATATTTATTCCGTTTTTTCGAAAAGTGCAAAAGTTTTTGAAAAAAGATAAAAATACAAATTTTAAATTTTAATATGTATAATTTTCAAAGTCAATTTTTTTTTTTGAAAATTTTGAAAATCGAACATGACGTCACTCTGACGTCATTTCCGGCCGACCTATGATAGATACGTAGTTGAAATTTTGACACAAGGTGTCAAATTGATGCAGCCGAAGGTACCTGCTGAAAGTTTGGCGGCGATACGTCAAGCGGTTTAGAAGTTATTGCAGAAAAACGGGAGGGGGGCTATGAATAGCCCCCCTCCCCCAGTGGGGCGCGGGTTATGTCTACAGTACACATTTATGGTGATCACT